AAAAAAAAAAAAAAAAAAGATGCTCAGCATCATTAGCCATTATGGAAATGCCAATCAAAGACAAAATGAAGTATCACTTCACACCCACTCAGTTCCTCAAAAAATTAAACATAGAGGATGACCCAGCAATTCCACTCCTAGGTAGACACCCAAGAAAAATGAAAACATATCCACACACAAATTTGTACATGAATATTTATAATAGCATTATTCGTAATAGCCAAAAGGTAGAAATAACTCATATGTCCATCAACTGATGAGTGAATAAACAAAATTGATATACCTATATAGTGGAATATAATTCCATCATTAAAAGGAATGAAGTACTGATTCATGCTAAAACATGGATGAACTTTGAAAACATTATGCTAAGGAAAAGCAGCTAGACACAAAAGACCACATGTTATATCAATCCCTTTATATGAAATGTCCAGACTAGGCAACTCCATAGAGACAGAAAGTAGATTAGTGGTTACTAATGGTAAGGAAAACAGGAAGTGACTGCTAACCAGGAGGGGGTTTCTTTTTGGGGTGATGAAAATGTTCTGCAATTAGATAGTGGTGATGGTTGTACAACCTTGTGAATATGGTAAAAACCGCTGAATTGTACACTTTTAAAAGTTGAATATTATGGTATGTGAATTACATCAATAAAAAAAGAAGTGGAAACTAATCTTAGTTAATTTACCTTATTTCATCAATTTTAAGACACTTGTGTTTTTCATATTTTATTGTCTGTGAAATTGAGATACATGTTTCAATCAATGGCACCTTAAATTGTATGAAATATAGTAAGTATCAGTATTCCAAAACTAGCGTAAGTAAAGAAAGTACAGAATTGAGGTATAGCTAAAAAATTTGTTTAGTATCTCCAATAGCAATCATCTCTCTGTTTTATTGTGTTTTGAATTGTAGTTTTTAAAGTCAGGTTTATTAAAGATTATACCTATAGTGATTCACCCTTTTTAGATAGAGAATTCTGGGTTCTGACAAGTATATACTGTCATGTAACTACCACCATATTCAAGATATAGAATATTTCCATCATCCCAAAAAGTTGCTCTATGTGCCTTTCTAGTAAATCCCTCCCTCCACCCCTAGTCCCTGGGTACCACTGATCTGATTTCTGTCCCTATGGATTTACCTTTTCTAGAATGTCATATAAATGAAATCATTTATGTAGGTGTTTGAGTCTGGCTTCTTTTACTTAACTTAATCCTTTTGGATTCATCCATGTTCCTGCATATATAAGTAGTCCGTTCATTCTGATTGCTGAGTCACTTGCATATGATTGTTCCACGGTGTATCCATTTACTAGTTGATGAACATTTGGATTGCTTCCAGTTTGGGGCTATTATGAATAGAGCTTCTATAAACATTCACATACAGATCTTTGTTTGCACATGTATTTTCATTTCTCTTGCATTAATGCCTAGAAGTGGCATTGCTGGTTCATAAGGTAAGTGTACGTTTACCTTAATAAGAAACCATCAGGGCCGGCCCCGTGGCGTAGCGGTTAAGTGTGCACCCTCTGCTGCTGGCGGCCTGGGTTCGGATCCCTGGTGTGCACTGACACACTGCTTGTCAGACCATCCTGTGGCAGCGTCCCACATAAAGTAGAGGAAGATGGGCACGAATGTTAGCTCAGGGCCAGTCTTCCTCAGCAAAAAGAGGAGGATTGGCATGGATGTTAGCTCAGGGCTGATCTTCCTCACAAAAAAAAAAAAAAAAAAACCCTGTCAAACTGATTTCCAAAGTGGCTGTACCATTTTGGATTCCCACCAGCAATATGTCAAAGTTTTGGTTCTGCATCCTTGGTCTTGTAATTTCTGTTTAGCTATTCTAATACATGTGTAGTCACGCTCATTGTGGTTTTTGTTTGCATTTCCTCAATGGCTAATGACGTTTAAAAGCACATCTTTTCATGTGCTTATTTACCATCCATACATCCACATCTCTTTAGTGAAATTCTGTTCAAATATTTTGCCCCATTTTATTTGGATTGTTTTCTTATTATTGAGTTCACAGAGTTCTTTATATATTCTGGATACAAGTGTTTGTCTGCTATGTCCTGCAGATATCTTCTCCCAGTCCTTCATTTTCTTAACAGTGTCTTTCAGAGAGCAAAAATTCTTAATTTTCATGAACTACAGTTAATCGATTTTTTTTTAAGATTTGTGCTTTTAGTCTTGTATCTAAGAAATCTGTCTAACCCAAGGTCACAAAGATTTTCTGTTATGTTTTTTTCTAGAAGATTTATAGATTTAATTTTATGTTTAAGTGTGTGATCTATTTTGTATAAGATGTGAGGTATGAGTCAAGGTTTTTTTTGCCTATAAACGTCCAGTTCCGGTACAGTTTGTTGAAAACGCCATAATTTCTCCA